AGTTTGTTTACAAACTTAATTTGACCTCCTACCGCACACTTCTTTTTTCTTTTTGTATATAAAATGTAATTTTAATTGTAATATTTTTCGTTGATTAATTTATATTTTATGTGTGTGTGGTAGAAAACAATAAAATAAACAAAACAATGTATATACTTCAGAGTCTGAAACGACAGTCTCAACCATCACTAGTAGCTGAGACAACTGAAATTAGGTTATAATGTTTAAAAACCTCAATTTCCAACAAAATTAAACTTAATTCTTATGTGTTTTAATTGATTAGCAACTCTTAAATATTATTCAATGTTAGTATTCATACAGAACCTACAGCAGTGCTACCATCGACCACATTAGGGGCAACTGAGACTATTTTCTTAACTATTATTATGTATGTATTCAGAATCTGCAACTACAGCTCAGCCATTAATAACAGTGAAGACAACTGATATTAAGTAGTAAAATTTAATTAACTCGAAGTTAAAACTTGTTAAATATTATAATTAAAAGTACTTTTTAGTATTAATCACATTTTTATATGTATACAGTTCCTACAACATTGCCGTCAACCACATCAATGACAACTGAGGGTATGATTTTTACTGATTATTTTTATGTATATGCTTTTCAAATTTGTTCATTCAGAGTCTAAAACGACAGTCTCAACCATCACTAGTAGTGGAGACAGCTGAAATTTGGTTATAATATTTTAAAACTTCAATTTCCAACAAAATTAAACTTAATTGTTAAGTGTTTTAATTGATTAGCAACTCCTAAATATTATTCAATGTTTGTATTCATACAGAACCTACAACAGTGCTACCATCGACCACATTAGTGGCAACTGAGAGTATTTTCTTAACTATTATTATGTATGTATTAAAAAAAATATGTGTATTCAGAATCTGCAACTACAGCTCAGCCAGTAATAATGTTTAGTGAAGAAAACTAATATTAAGTGGTAAAATTTAATTAACTTTTATGTCCAACAAAATTAAAACTTGTTAAATGTTATAATTAAAAAGTACCCTTTTAAGTAATAATAACATTTTGATATGTATACAGGACCTACAACATTGCGGCCAACCACATCAGTGACAATTGAGGGTATGTTTTTTTACTAATTATTACTATGTATATGCTTTTAAAATTTGTTTATTCAGAGTTTGAAACAACACTGTCAACTATTACTAGTAGTTGAGACACCTGAAATTAGGTTATAATATTTAAAAACTTCAATTTCCAACAAACTTAAACTTAATTGTTAAGCGTTTTAATTGATTAGCAACTTTTAAATATTTTTCAATGTTTGTATTCATACAGAACATACAACAGTGCTACCATCGACCACATTAGTGGCAACTGAGAGTAATTTCTTAAATATTATTATGTATGTATTTAAAAAAATATGTGTATTCAGAATGTGCAACTACAGCTCAGCCATTAATAGCAGTGAAGAAAACTGATATTAAGTGGTAAAATTTAATTAACTTTAATGTCCAATGAAGTTAAAACTTGTTAAATGTTAAAATTAAAAAGTACCCTTTTAAGTAATAATAACATTTTGATATGTATACAGGACCTACAACATTGCGGCCAACCACATCAGTGACAATTGAGGGTATGTTTTTTACTAATTATTACTATGTATATGCTTTTAAAATTTGTTTATTCAGAGTTTGAAACAACACTGTCAACTATTACTAGTAGTTGAGACACCTGAAATTAGGTTATGATATTTAAAAACTTCAATTTCCAACAAACTTAAACTTAATTGTTAAGTGTTTTAATTGATTAGCAACTTTTAAATATTTTTCAATGTTTGTATTCATACAGAACATACAACAGTGCTACCATCGACCACATTAGTGGCAACTGAGAGTATTTTCTTAACTATTATTATGTATGTATTTAAAAAATATGTGTATTCAGAATGTGCAACTACAGCTCAGCCATTAATAGCAGTGAAGAAAACTGATATTAAGTGGTAAAATTTAATTAACTTTAATGTCCAACGAAGTTAAAAATTGTTAAATGTTATAATTAAAAAGTACCCTTTAATTAATATTAATAACATTTTTATATGTATACAGGACCTACAACATTGCGGCCAACCACATCAGTGACAACTGAGGGTATGTTTTTTTTACTGATTATTACTATGTATATGCTTTTAAAATTTTTTCATTCAGAGTCTGAAACAACAGTGTCAACTACTACTAGTAGTTGAGACACCTGAAATTAGGTTATAATATTTGAAAACTTTAATTTCCAACAAAATTAAACTTAATTGTTAAGTGTTTTAATTGATTAGCAACTTTCAAGTATTTAATAATTTCAATTTACTTTTCTAAATGTTTAAGGTTTGTGGACATCAACATATGTTTACAAATACTGGTAGACGCTTATACAGTAGGCCATCTCCACCTAAAGATGATGTATTTTGTATCTCATCTGTGTCTAAACGATTAATTTATATAGGCCTATCCAATTCAGGTCAACATTTGATATAAACGTTTTAAAATATTATATTTTTATCCCCCGAAGAATCTCTGCGAACTTTTCTGACATGGGAAGGAAAAGGGGTGACAAAGCGGGGGCTCCTAGTCCCCTTCCCTAGCGCCACCACTGGTTACCTTTGAGGTCTATTCTCAGTATTGTTGTCTATAGTAGTACTTAAAGATATTGTTATTGTTGATTTATGTTCTTGATTTTGCAAATCGTATTTTCATCATTAGAATGGTAAATTTCAAATAAACATTAATTATTTTACCATTTGTGCGTTGATAGCATCTAAATTCAATATCTTCAGCTTTCGACAGACTTTCGATTGTATATTCCAGAGCCTAACTATTATACAGTTTTTGGTTTACCAATCATGAAGCCAAGTTGCTTGGTGTTATAAAATTACCTAATCTTACATTTAGATCATATTATATTAGGACTGTGTGCGCACAAACCTCTCGGTGTCCAGGTTTATTAGCAAGTTTTTGTTAGTCTTGGTCCCAATTTTGTTTAAAAAAAAAAAATTAAACTATTAACAGTTATTTAAGTAAATATAATTTATGTTTATTTTATTTTATTTATTTATTCAAGACTCAACAGTGTATCAAAAACACCAATAACAGAGTTGCCATAAAAATATACAATATCATTCATAAAAATATATAATTAAAAAAAAAAAAACATAAAAAGCATAAAAAATCGTAATAATATATTAAAAACCGGTATTTAGTATAAGATTAAAAATAGTAATATACAATTAAAAATATCAATATTAGGAAAAATTTGAAGTAGATTATTATAAGAAAGTGCAACACGACGAAAAATACCATTAGTACAAACATTAACACGAGATTACGGAACTTTTAACAAATGATTGGTACGAAGCCTGCGCACGGGAACATGAAAATAAAAATTCGACACAAGGTTACAATCAAACTTACAGTTTAAACATTTAAATAGAAAAATAAGATCGTTTCGTTTTCGTCTAGTTGATGGTAAAAATTGTTCGCAACTAAGCGAACCGGCAGCTGGGCCAATGAACTTCATGAATTTGTTATGAATCCGGTCTATTCTAATGAAATGAGTATGAGATATTGAGTTGTAGATAACTGAACAGAAATCAAGGGATGGAGTAATTATTGATGTATATAGAGTAAATTTTGCTGATGGTGTAAGAAGTTTGCAATTTCTCCACATTAGTCCAAGCAGCCGGTTTGCTTTTTTAACAATGGTGTCCAATTTCTTTCTATTACCCACAGTAACTACATCAACAGAAGTCTTATCAACTTGCCAGTGGGTCTGTTGGGAAAAAACAACAGTGCCAACGTCCGCATTAGTGACAACTGAGGGTATGTTCTTAACTTACATATCTGAAAACTTGTTTATAAACATTATCTGACACAACTAAGACGTCAACAGGACTGGAGGCAACATAGACATTGGAGAAAACTCTTTATGTGGTCCACATACATATAAATTAAATTACCTATTATAACTACCTCTATTACCTGTCATTAACTGATATTAAGTTAAACATAATTGTCCAACGAAGTTTTAAATTTTGTAATTAATAATTAACTTTTAAATATAATAAATTTTATAACACATTAGCATTTTTAAAGAATGAAACTAGCCAGTAATTGACATTTTTTTTATATAGTATACAGAACCTACAATAGCAGCACCACCGACCACATTAGTGCCAAATAATGGTGTGTTTTTCTTTATTTCGTAAGGATTTTATATACATTGTATTAATGACTAGCTGTTAAAAAAAACCCCAAAACAAATCAAACAACGTAATTTGTAAACGTTGCATTCCAACAAAAGTTGGAAGTCGTGGCTATCTCTAAAATATGAGTAAAAGCAGATGACACAGCTGTTTATGTAAATATTACCCCATCAGCAGTATATTTTAACTTCAACTCGTTCATTGTTTATGAAGTGGAATCCAAAATGCACTTCTGTATAGTGCAGGCGTGGATGTGACTGCAAATTGGTATTCATTTCATTTATTTCTTTCTAAACATAAACAATATACAATAAATAATACATTAAAACAGTAAAGGCCTGTTATATATAAAATTACAACAGATTTTAATGAGACAATTATTAATGCTAGGCCTAACACTTGAAAATTTGGTGAACGAGACATGTAGACAGCTGTGAAACTGACAAAATTATTTCAAAATACCTAATTTCTGTATTTTCTACTAAACGAAAAAAAAAACAACCCAGATATTTTCAACAATTCACTATTTTAGGCAGTGTATTTGACCATTAAGCAAGATCGTGAATTCTAAAATTATTTAAAAAAAAAAAATTGTAAAAATTGGTCAAAATAATAATAATAATAATAAAATAATAATAATAAAATAATAAAAATGAAATAATAAAATAATAATAATAAATAATAATAATAATAAAATAATAATAATAATAAAATAATAATAATAATAATAATAATAATAAAATAATAATGAAATAATAAAATAATAATAAAATAATAATAATAATAATAATAATAATAATAATAATAATAATAATAATAATAATAATAATAATAATAGGCCTAATTTTTCTGCAGAATCCGCATTTTAGAAATGGCGATTGGTAGGAGTGTGCGAGTTCTCCTGTTCATCAATCTTTGGGACTGGACTTGGAGACCCTGTGTTGGGGTATTTCTGTGATCCAGTATTGCGATATGGACATCGCTTCCAGCTTTGAGTTATTTTATTATAATGCGTTTTGCTGTTTTGATAGCAGACTCTGCTTTACCGTTCGCCTGACTGTTTCCTGTGCTACTTGTGAGGTGGTCAAAGTCTGACTCCTTCGCGAATCGCTTAAATTGGTCCGATGTATATTGTGGACCGTTGTCGCTTATCACTTGCGACGGCGTTCCATACCGTGCGAAATACGCTTTTAGTTTTTGAATCACTGCTACGCTGGTCGTTTTTGGCAGATAACCAATTCCCCCAAAATTACAGTAATAATCGACAGTTATCTAGTAATTTAACTGAGAATAAGTCGGTCGCAATTCTCTCCCATGGTCTTGTTGGCAATTCGTGTAGCATAAGTATCTCTTTTTGTTGTGATGTCTCTAAGGATCTACAGATGTAACATTTGGTAATCATTTGTTTGATATCGCTCTCGCCATACGCGACCAAAATACGCATTCCATGGCACTATGCAAACAGCCCTCTTGTCCAAGGTGGGGTGCATGTATTTTGTGTTTTATTTCTTCTCTTAATTTATCGGGTATGATTATCCTTTCTCTTCTGAATATGGATCAACCGCTCGAGATAGAGTGTCCGCTATGGTGCATGTTGTATGTCGTAATCATATTGTTACACTTGCAACAACATGCACCAGGTAGGATCTTTCATCTATTTGCTTTGCTACCATCATCACCTTTTTCCAATGCTTGTTTCCTCTAACCAACGGTTTCATTCTAACAATATCAACTGAAGTAATGGGGGCGATCCTACAACAACAATGAATTTTGTGCAAAGCATACAAGTCTGCCGAAATAAATAAAGAGTATTAAAAGAACAAAAGATCAATGATAAGAAACTGTGGGAAATAGCATACAGAATAATTCTATGTCAAAGTCAATGATAAAAACACTAAATTGGCAGTAAAAACATATATATATACCGTAAGTGACCTTGACATTGTAGCATAATGCACACGTGCAACAGACAACAATCTCACAACATACAATAATGTGGAAATATAATTATAATTTCATAGCTATTTTTAAAAATTTGATATGACCTTGACCTTGTAGTATGCACGTGCGCAACAAGAGTTTATCTTAGAACATACGCAGACTCTGACTATGTGCCGCACATAATAGTCACCGAGTTTTAAAATTATAATAACAAGAAATTGTAGAACTTACAATAAAAAAAATCTCACAGTAGAACAGCATTAGAGAAAATCCGATCAGAATGACAAAATAAACTAAGCATCCACTGGAAGGAATCCCAATATCTGCACACGGATCTGTTTTAAAATTTATATATTAAAAGGAATCCTCGATCAATGTTAAGGCCTAGTTCTATACAGTCTAATGTGTAAATATTTTCTGTTCTGCTATTTCTCATTAGAGAAAATCCGATCAGAATGACAAAATAAACTAAGCATCCACTGGAAGGAATCCCAATATCTGCACACGGATCTGTTTTAAAATTTATATATTAAAAGGAATCCTCGATCAATGTTAAGGCCTAGTTCTATACAGTCTAATGTGTAAATATTTTCTGTTCTGCTATTTCTCGTTCTAAACTATTTTTGAAAAATTCTTAACTACTTTGTACTTTCATATTATTAAGTGTTTGTCCATTGTAGAGAGCTAATTAGGGCAAATATTGCATGATATAGCATATATTAGGTTAGCATATATTAGGTCGTCAGATAATTAAGTGGCGGCCGCCAGATAATTAAGTGGCGGCTGCCAGATAATTAAGAGGCGGCCGCCAGATAATTAAGTGGCGGCCGCCAGTTAACAGATCTGAAATTTTAATTCACTGGTGGCATTAACGGGCTTCCGTAGTTTATTGAGTGATGGGTGATACGTAGTTATTAACGGTGTGCGGTTAGAGGATGTATTTTCGTTGTATTACAGTAGGTCCTGGCGTGGTATACGCTTAGCTTTCTCTATCGGTTTGACTACTACTTGTGTGCGATACTTTTTAGTTTCTTAAATGTGTTAGCTAGTTCTGTTAAATGATTATCTCTGCCTATTGTATCAAAACAAATGCGGCTGTAACGGAGGGGTTGGCTATTTACGATAGTAACATGTTTAGGGTGTGCGCTAGTTGCATGTAAGTATTGTTGGGTGTCAGTAGGTTTCTTATATATGAATGTACTAAGATGGCCATTATTTAACTTAACTGTAGTGTTCAAAAGTCCTTAGATATATCAGCGGTAAACTTAATAGTTCTATGAAATGAGTTAAAATCAGTGTAAAAGTCGTTGAAAGAATTTTCTTTATAGGGCCAATATATAATACAGATATCATCGATGAAACGAAGGTAGAGTGTGGGTTGGAGTGTGCCGGGTGTCAAGAAAAAGTTTTTCTAAGTTGGACATGAAGATGTTCGCGTATTTTGGTGCCATGCACGTTCTCATTGCTCCATTGATTTGAAGGTAGTGTGTTCTGTTAAAGATGAAATGGTTGTGTGTTAACAAGAATTCTGCTAAACAATATAGCATCCAGCCCATCATGATGGCGTATATTCGTGTATAGCGACGAGTTTCTATAAAATGAAGACCGAAGACCCAAAACGAAGACCTCTATTTTTTCTCTTTTATTTTGATGATAATACAACAGGCTGTCATAAAATCAAAATTATTAATTTTTTTGGGCGTCTGTTTGTGAAATTTTCAAGTTTTATAGACACCTTATATGGGGTGTCTACAAAACAAAGGCCGAAGGCCAGAAAAACGAAGACCCACATTTTTTCTCTCAATTGTGATGAAAGTATTGTTTTTAAATCACTTCATGCTATGCATTATGGCCCTGTCACATAGTAGCGAATAGACCTAACGTATGCCGAGCGTTCTCATTTTTTTTTCCTAAGTCCCGATACGCTCAAATACGCTCAATTTTTTTGGCAAAAAAAAAAAAAATTTTTGCGTGAAAGACGAACGCCCAACGAATGGGAAACGAATGCTCATCGTACAACTAGCGTCCATTTAACGAATTATGACAGCGCGTTCGCCCAACGAATGTTCAGCGTACACAACGAATGCCCAGCGAATGTCATACGTATGCCTAACGTATTGACGTCTTGTAAACGTTGATGTAGGTCGGTATACGCTGAGTGTTCGCTTGCCATTCGCTACTCATTAGTTAGACAAACGCTATGAATAATTATGCATTTGCTATGGCAACGTCAGATGGGATTGAACGTGTTTGGACGAACAAAGGACGAACAGAAAACGTAAACCCAACGTGCACCCAACGTGCGAAACGTTCAAACAACGAATGCTCACCGTATACATAGCGTATGTAGCAGAACGTTGTCATACGTTCAAAATGTTGAACATGTCCAAAAATTAAAATCGACCCCAGCGTACCTCAACTAACAGCTAACAAATACAACGTATGCCAAACGTATTACGAACGTGTCACAAACGAATGTCAACTTACGCGAACGTAAACCAATATTTTGATAAACGTCGGCATGTTGGTTCTATACGCTACAGTGTGACAAGGGCTTAACATGGACCTATTCTTATTAATAGGTCCATGCATATAGTATTCGTCTTCTTCGCACATTGTTGCCTGAATCTGAGTCAATTTACGCGGCAAACAATGTTGTACGTCAACGGCTGGTGGCTGAGCGCGTCTTGGCGCTGCTACCCTCTAAAGGAAAGTAATTGGCTTGGCCTAGCGGTATTTTGGAACCTACAAAAACCGTTAACATTTCGTTTATAAACTTGTTCCATGTTAAAATCAACAGTAGGCATGTGGTATAGTGACGCATGTGTGCAGCATCTATCATTTGGTAGTGACACCAACATAGGATGGACGAGATAATTAAGGATCTTCGTTTTATAGACACCCCGTTTCTGGGTTGTGAGCATGAGTCGATGACTCGATGTAGGCTGTCTAGGATTGGTATCCTGAACATCATTGGTCTTATTATGTCCATTGTGATGAAATTCTTTCAAACGAAGGCGTCGAAAGTACGCTTTAAGTTCACCACATAATTTGATCTTATCCAGAGGACACGGAACTAGGGGGTGCTGCGTTATGGAGAGTATAATGTGTGACCGGAAATGGTCTGCCAGTTGGTTGTTACAATGCGCCAGTGATAGTGGGGTACAGCAAGGTGAACATATTTATGTAATGTATGAAAAAAGTTCGTGGTTTGTCGGGTAGTGAAATTATTATTGTATATTTTAAGTGGACCCGCCATGCATAAATGTAAGTTAAATGACGGTGATTAATTAGCGAAGGTGATACACAGGAGTACACGTAGCTGGTTAGAAAACAAAAAAACAACATCTGTCTCTTATACACATCTAGATGTGTATAAGAGACAGAGTAGAGTGTGCAATGTTATAGGAAGTACTCTTTCAAAAGAAATAAATTAAAATAAGAAAAAAAAACCCCAAAAAACTAGGGCCTAAAAATAATTCAGTTGCAGACGTAGCTTGTTTAAGTATTATATGCTAATGCGGCTCTTGTAGCCCTAGCTAGTCTAAGACATTCATGTGCAAAGCAGTGGTGTTTGTTTATCCATGAAAAAAGCAAGCCGAGAAAGTTTGCCTTACCAGGAAAAGGTGACGTAATCTAGCTTATGGCGTATGCATGCTAACTAGTCTATAGTGTGAATGTGACGTCGCCAAAAAATAAAAATTTTCTATTATAACCAAAATATTAATAACTACAAGGTTTGTGGGCGTAAATTCCCTTAATACGAATTAAGGGTAGCACCATCTCCTTGCCATACAAATTACAGCTCCCATTGACGTCTCAGTCGAGAAATACGAGTAGCTGAAGTTTTTCTCGAAAATCTAATACAAAACCATATCGATATTTCACGTTCCACTTCTGACTCCGAGTTGTGCTTCGCTCACGCCGCTGACGGCGCACAGTGGGCCAGGGCGAAATCAAAGTGTGCCAAAAGTCCATTTTGGTGACTATGGCTTTTACACTTTTTTCACATGATTGAAGATGGGTATACCCTGGTGAATCTATCCTGAAAATATTTTACATTTAAACGGATTTTAAGGGTAGTATTTTTCAAGACATTTCGGAAAGTTCTCTATAAATATTTTAAATGCTATTGTCTACATTATATCAAAACACGTTTTTTTCTTACAGAATATTCGGAATTACTTCAAAATGCACAGGTTTATTGTATATAAATTGGGGAACACAAATATATGTTTTGGTTTAAATTTGGAGTTTGCATCAATAATAAATCGTTGTTTAAACGACGGAAAAAATATTAAAAAATCTAATTTTAGAAAAGTAGGAGAGAAAGTTTAGATTCTTGTGGATTCATGCTTTAATTTTTACCTCACCATCTTCAGTATAGCCTTAGCTTTATGATGGTACCAAATTTAGCTGCTACTTTTTGCAACTTTGCGAGCTAGACGCAC